CTAGAGAATTGATCACTCCCTTCCTTGTTACAAAACTTCCCCCTTTGCATTTCCAACCCTCATAATCCGTCCTGATAAGTATTATTCACTACAGTATCACGAGTTACCCATCTGTATCTCCTTTCATCAGCTCCGACCAGACAGATTGAATAGTACCTACTGGAGATTCTGCCTTCCGCCATGCTCCCTAGCACCAGGTTCCCTCTTGAAATCTTGTAAGCCAGTCACTTCTTGCCTTTGTAGTCCCCCCATCCCAATTTGAGAATCCAATGTCCAAGCTGCCCTTCTCTGTCCACTCTGTGTGTGGGACGGGGGGGTGTGAATGTTTGTTGCTGTAAGGATTTGTTCCCTCTTTTTGAGTCGCTGCTCCATAGGTATAGGTCAAGTTCATCAGACCGTATCAGCTCACTCTTTTTTTTTTCTTTTCCCCCATCTTCTTTCCTCTCCTGGTCGAGCACCAATAATCCAGTCATCCGGTCCAGGTCACGTGGTTGTCATGTGAAAGTGTGGGCGCTCCTGTGTATCTGTCCTCTCTTCCCGTCAGCCGGTAGCTCCACTCTCCTCCACTCTCCTCTCGAGTCCTCCGTAGCTACACCACTGACTCTGGGCCCAAGAGTCCCCAGGGCTCTTCACACTGCTTGCCATCCAGGTTCCCAACTGGGTCCACAGAAGTCCACTGAACACTGTAGTGCTTAGCTTGCTGCTTCATTGCTGCTTTTACCCCACTTCCCCCCATCGGTGATGTGTGTGGTCACCAATCAGAGCATGCATTTCCGTTGGTTCTTAGTCTTGGAAGGGGGTTTGCGTTGAGAGGACCTGGCCACTTGCCTTGATGTTTTCTAGGGAAGCGATTTGTTTGTTCTTGTAGTAACAGTCCATCTGCCTCCATTTTTCCTGCAGGTCTTTCTTTCAAGAAGTATCTTTTATTCTTCTAGCCGCTCCAGGCTGGTCTGCTCATCTTTTCAAGTGGAGATTTCTCATCTCTGGAGATCTGCATGTGGTTCCGGTTTCTACCTATAGTTCTATGTATTGCAAAGGCTCCTCAAGAAGCCTCGTTCACTGGGTACGCTGTAGGGTACGCTGTAGCCCCATTTTAGGTATTCCAATCAGTCATAGGCAGAAGACGGACTT